GTGTGATTTATCACTTCAGAAGTGCTGAAAGGTCAGCTGTATGTCTGCTCCAGCTCTACATCAATGATATTTTCCCTTTTCCTCCTTTAAACCTTGCTCAAATGAAAACCATCTAAGACACTTGATCCAAGCCATGGTCTTTTCAGTTACTTGCTATGCATCTAAATAAAGATGACAGAAGAAGAATCGATGCCTTTAAGTTGGTGCTGGAGAAAGGCACTAAATGTCCCATGGACTGCCAAGAGAACTTACAGATATGTTTTGAAGAGAATGCAGCCAGGATGATCATTGGAGGGAAGGATGATGAAACTTCATCTCACATACTTTAGGTATGTTGTTAGGAGGGGTCAGTTCTTGAAGAAAGACATCACGCCTGGAAAGGTAGAAGGTCAGCAAAGGCTGGGAAGACCCTCAATGAGATGGACTGACAGTGATTGTGACGATGGGCTATAGGATGACAGAGACGATGAGGATGGCACAGGCAAGGACAGGGTTTAGGTCTGATGTTCATAGAGTCATTATTAGTCAACCTCGACTCAATGACACCTAACAACTACAAGAACTACCATCTTTCTTTCCAGGTTGTACATACAACAAGTAGAGATACTGCCTGTATCACCTGCTAAGGTCACTTTCTAAGAAGCTGTGGGCTCATCTATCCTGGACTTCTCTTTTCTCACTTTACTCTTTTGTTTGGAAAGTGGGAGTTGTACATCATCTTCAGTCAGGAGTCTTCGTTTCTTACTGTGTGATCAGGCAGAGTCCTGAGTAAAACAAAAGAACTTTTGAAACATAAAGAATCCAAAGTAAGGTCTCTACTCATTATGTCAGGATGTGAACAAGGAGCAATGGAACTTTTGGATTGAAAGTTAGGGAAGAGGGACTTTATGGTGCTAGATTTTAAAGACAAGTGAGAGTTAACTGAGTTTAAAAGAAGGGAAAAACAATCCCAGCAGGGGGAAAGGCAGAAACATGGGAGTGAATGGAGCACACTTCTAGCTAGAAAAAACTTGGTGCGCATGAACATAAGGGCAAGAGTGATTGGATTTTGTTTTAAAGGCAGGAACAGATTACCCAGGAGGAGGCAAGTCAAGAGCAAGCTTACTTGCATTTACTTGTTAATCTATATGAAGTGTTTTCACATATTTTTCACCATGGTCTCTGCCAAAGCCCCAAAATCCAAACTTAATGCCATAGAGACAATTCTCATTCGTAATGACCCTGTAAGACAGAGTAGAGTTGCTCAACATGGGGTTTCCAACACTATATAAATCTTTACTGAAACAGATTGCTACATCTTTATTTTATGGACCTTCTTGTGGGTTTAAACTGTCTTTCAGTTAGCAGTCAAATGATTTAACTACAATATCACTAGAGCTCTTCCATCCCTGTCACTTAGAAATTTGAAGAGGCTGTGATTCTATAGGAAGTTTCTGTGAGGTTGGGAGGCAAAGAAATGTCTTCCATACTTAAAAAAGTAAAATCTTAGGAATGCTGTAATAGTAAAGAGTGTGTGTCAATTTGAGTACCCCTGATTATCTAGTCTGGCAGTTATGATGTAGCAATTCCTTTGATGATGCAATATAATCACTTCCATGGTGAGATCTGCTATGAGAAGTTAACCAGTCTCTGAAAGGGAGTGGCTTCAGGGAGGTAAGTTGCACCTAAAGACATAAAAGCTAATGAGGCTTTTATATATAGATGTTATTGTGTGCCATCAAACCAACCCGTAGCTGACCCTCCAATGGGTCTTCAGAAACAATCACAAGGGAAGAGATTACCCATCATTCTCTGGCAGAGCAGCTGGTAGACTTAAATCGCTTGTCTTGGTGATTGTAGTGCAGCTTCTTGCCACTAGGCCACTAGAAATGGCTTAAGTGCTTGTAGAGACAAGTTCCAGGGGACTTCAGGGGAGAGGCATGTAGGGAGGCTAAGTCCAAGTTATTAGGTAGGTTTCCATGCTCCTGGCTTTGGAGGCTACTGACTCTAAATGACTCATCCATGGTCATTGTTGGAAGACAGGGTCACAGACTCTGGATGAGATGGATTGACAGACACAGTAACTGGGGTAATGGGGATAGGTGTGTTGGAGACAGTGAGATTGGTTAAGGACAGGGCAGCATTCAGAATTCTTGTTCATAGGATAGAGTCACTATGGGTTGCAGTCAACTCACAATAGGGTCACAGACAGGGGGACTCAGCTACTGACAAGACCAAATATGGTAAGTGAGGTGCTTGTTGGAGACTGAAGACCATGAACCAGATGTTGTAGTGGTCAGGTGCTGTCAAACTGAGTAGGACTCACAATGACTGTATAAACAACAGATCTGAAGCCCGTTCTATCCCACATCATCTTTGTCATCCTAGACACACTTTAGCCCATTGCCACAGTCACAATATCAATCCATCTTGTTGAAGGTCTTCCTCTCTTTTGTGACTTTCCACCATTCCAAGCATGATGTCCCTTTCCAGGGAATATCCTCTCCTAACAGCATGCCCAAGTATATGAGATGAAATGTTGCCATTCTTTTTAATTGTTATCATTATTATTATTAGTGGGTGTACCATCAATCTTGGAAGCAGGAGTGGCATCCACTTCTGAAATAGCTTGCATCCGGAAACCCTATGAACCTGGAGAAACGATGAAAGTCATACAAGTATTCACGTCTTTTGTTCATAAGGTTGCTATGAGTCATCTACGACTGGATGGCACTTAACAACAACAACAACAACCATCAAATCGGATCTGACTGGTACAGGAGGAGATTGCTCCTCCTTCTCCAGCATAGCAATCTAGTAGATTAAAACTGTGCGCCTTCAGGATTGCAGTGCAGCTTGAAATGTTGCCATTCTTGCCTCTATTGAGTACTCTGGTTGCACCTTCTCCAAAACTTATCAGTTAGTCCATGGAATACTCTTTTGTTAATCCATGGGATATCCAGCACTCATCTCCAAAACCACAACTTAAGCACATCGATTCTTCTTCTGTCATCCTTATTTGTAGTTCAGCTCTCAGATGGTTGAAATGGGAGCCAGATATAGATCTGATAAAAAGTTCTCTAGTTTTTGGCTAAAGTTCAAACATAAATACCAGGAGGACACATACTTGATGAGACTTACTCTTAATCACATAAGACTAGACACATCTTTACAGATGTACTTGTAATCTTGTCTTATTAATAGCATGTTGTTGTGTGTTGGCAAGTCAGAATTGACTCATAGCTGACCTTCCAACAGATTTTCTGAGGTAGTATATCACACAGGGGGACATTGCCCTTCTTTCTCCTATGCAACAGCTGGTAGATTATAACCACCCACATGCCTCTGGGATTGCAGCACAGGTTCTTACCACTAGGCCACTATAGCTCCCTTATTAATATCACAGGGGTTAGAATTTACATCATAGAATGCATTGTAATGAGTCACAGCCATGTTAACTTACAATGTTAATCACCACATGGACTTTATGGCAAAGCTGTCTAACTTTCTGCATGATTGAGATCCTGCATCTGGCTCATTGCCAGACCTTAGAGTCTTTGTACTTGAGCCAGTGACCTGCCAGTATTGCTTGGCAATTTTGGTTCCCTCAGCCTCCAAAGCCAGCAGTCTGCCATCTAGCCTACTGATTCTTGGATTCATAGCCCCTGCAACTCTGTGAGGCAGGAGAAACCTCTATGCTTATGTCTGACCCATGGACATGGCAGGTGACAGTTTTTACAAGTGTGTGAAGCACTTCCTTGAGATAAATTTCTCCCTCACCATACAGAAGCATCACTGGTATTGCTTCTCTAGACAACCAACCCTATGATGTGGTGAAAAGAAGTGAATTTTCTCACATAGATTGATAAAAATAAGCACAAATAAGCTCATGCTTACTTTGTTGAACTGACACTGCAGATAAAGATTACTTTCACAGCTCTGTGAAATACAAGGCAGGAAGAAAGTGGACGCCATTTGTTGCCCTGGGGAGGGGCCACAATTAGACTCTGTAAAGGAGCTTGAGAGCACAAGCTGTATCTGAACAGCAGCCAAAGGTTGGCAGCTTGAATCCACCTAGCAGCTCTGTGCAAGAAAGACCTGGCGACCTTCTGTAAAGATGAGAGCCTAGGAAACACTACGGAGCTGCTGAGTCACTTAACTCAAAGACAGTTACCAATCAGGTAGAACCCTCTAGTTCTTTGGAAGCTCCAACTGCAAAACACCGAATATGCTTTAGAACTCTGCACGTGCTTTTAGGATCTTCAAGACCACTTTTTGTAAACACGGTTTTGTGTTGTTGTTGCCGCCCTTAACTTTGTCCCCAGGAGTCGGTTATACCTTTTAATAAAACAACCATGAAATTTTTCTATTTCTGGGGATCCTTTAGTGGATTTTCTTAGGCGCCATTTGAGGCCTGCAAGTTGTGGGAGGTACATTTCTGTACAGGTTTCATTAAGCAAGGCTCTTGGACACAACCCACCGTAACCCCAGCTTAATTCTAACACCCACACAGACAGAAACCAGGCTACACAAAACAGCCTCTGAGATCCATCAGGAACCTGCGAATCCCGAAACTACTGCCAGGGGTGTGCCTAGGCGGGGCGAGCGGTCCAGGTCCCCCTCCCTTCCTGGACCACACCCTTCCCGGCTCCCAAGGGCAGGAGGAGGCTGGGCGAGCAGCGCGCCCACGCGGTGGGCCTGGCGGCGGGCGGCAGCGGTGGGCGGGTCTTCCCGGCCGCGGGTCTCAGTGACGGTGCCGGCCCCGCCCCTT